AGAACATCGGCCACGAACTCGACCATGTTCTTCGCGACTTGGGAATCGCGCAGGAGATCCCGGTACCCAGAGTTCACGTTACGAAGGACGATGATCGGATGTCTGATGCTGGCTACTATAAAGATGTCCCACAGGAGATCATGAGACAGATATATTCTCTCTTTAGATATGATTTTGACGTTTTGAATTACTCTCGTTCACTTGGCGATTTAGTGTGAATGTTATGTCTTCAAAACATATGAATAACATATAAAGGACATTATTTTAGCGTTCAGTGAGTTTTTATACCATTAATAATCGTAATGATTATTGTTAAAAGTTTGTTATTTTTCGGTTTGTTTCTTTAGTTATTGTGTTAAATACATTTCAATATAAGGTCGTGGAGTTATTTTGCAATATTGTATTACTGATTTAGGAAAGTACGTTTGAATATATTTTGATATGTCAGATGAGTGGGAAAAGCCACATACCCCTTTTTATTTTATTAGTGAAAAATATATTTGAGAAATAATGAACATACTTTATGCTTAGTGATATACAATCTAAGAAATAAAATACAGTTGTTTCCTTACATTCCTCACTGTTCATACTTTATTTCTTCCCCAACTTAATTTCTTTGATTTGATAATACAACTCATAACCGAAGGACTTCTTATTCAATTCAAATTTTAACAGATCGATCTCGTCACGTGTGAACCGTATTCCTTCCCGTGCAAATTTATCGCAATATTAACCCTTTAACCCTTTGAGAATTTATTAAATCTTGCAGGATGCCATGATAGTGTGTGAGTGACTCTTGCAATGAGGAATTATTGTCTATGTTTATATTTGATTAGTTATTTGTTGAACGCCTCTTTGGCAACAGTGAAACGTGGCGACTGATGTCCGTAGAGTTTAATCGCATGTCTTTAATTCCTTTGTATTATGTCTTCAATTTTTTTTGAGAGGGCTCCTCCCCATTTTCTCTTTCTTTTGCTTCTTCTTTTTTTATTGCTTTTTTTTTTGCTTCTTCTTTTTCTTTTTCTTATTTTTCATTCTTTACCTCTTCTCTCTCTCTTCTCCTCTCTCTCTCTCTCTCTCTTCTCTCTCTCTCTCTCTCTCTCTCTCTCTCTCTCTCTCTCTATTTCACGTTATTTACTTAAACATGCCAATAATAATATATGTAAGTGTCAATGGTAACAAATATATAACCAAGTTATGATTGTGACAATCACATGAAATATATACTCCAATATAATAAAAGGATTAACATAATTACTTAATACCATCCCAATTGTTAAGGTTTTTGAAGAAGTTTAACCAATAAATAACTTTCATAACAAATGCATTTACCTTATTTTTTTTCTCTTTTTTCGTTTTCTATTTCACTTTCAAATTTTCTCAATCATCATTCATATCACTTTTTCATGTATTTATTTTCGTTCAAGTTTAAATGTAGTTTAAAAATTGTTTACAGTTCTCATGACGTTTCATCTGTGTTGGTAGTTAATCGTTGTTATTGTTATTTGTTGTTTATTTGTTATCATCCATTGCACGCTGTTATTATGACTTCATTTCGTTGTGATAATTTTTATTATTGTTACTATTATAATTGTTGTTATTATTTTTTATTATAATCAATATAATTACTGTTATTATTTTATTTATAATATTATTATAATTATTATATTATTATTATCATATATTATTTTTATTATAATCATTATTATATCATTACTGTTATTATTTTTTTTATTATAATCATTATCATTATTATTATCAATTACTGTTATTATTTTTTTATTATAATCATTATCATTATCATTACTGTATTATTTTTTTATAATCATAATCATATCATTATCATTACTGTTATTATTTTTTATTATAATCATTATCATTATCATTACTGTTATTATTTTTTATTATAATCATTATCATTAATGTTATTATTTTTTATCATAATCATTATCATTATCATTATCCTTACTGTTATTATTCTTTATTATAATAATTATCATTAATGTTATTATTTTATATAATAACCATTATCATTATCATTCATCTTGCTGCAATATCACAAGCAAAGAGAAGGAAATGCCAGAATGATGTCATATTCACAAAAAAAATATGCCTATCCTTATCTATAATCTTTATCTATATCATTCACGTCAATATTTTTTTTCCATCACTGATATCTTTCTCTCCTTTACTGTCATAATTACTATTGTCATTATTATTATTGGTAGTAGTAGTGATAGTAATAATAATTGTTGTAGTATCATCACTGTTATTGTTATCATTATTATTATTATTATCATTATTATTGTTATTATTATTATTATTATTATTATTATTATTACTATTATTTATTATTATTATTATATATTATTACTATATTGTTATTATTATTATTAATTATTATTATTATTATTATCATTATTATTATTACTATTATTGTCATTATTGTTATTATTATTATTATTACTATTATTATTTCATTATTATTATTATTATTATT